TTTTTCTGTAAATCTAAAACTGTTCTATAAAATAAAGTCTATTAATTTGTTAAAGTGTTGATTAAAAAGAAATAAATTATTACAAACCAAGGATGCTTTTCAATTTTGCAGATTATCTCTGACTGTTTACTGTCCCTCAAACATTAGGAAATATCATAGTAGTAACAGAAAAGGACTCCCCAAGCAATGGGTCAGAAAAGATGCAATCACCAGGGAGGGGAGAGGGATAAAAATATTGGGGAACTAGAAACTCTAAAGAATGAAGAAATGAATTTAAGTAATTGAAAATAGTACCATTAAAAATGTATCTAAAAAAATTAACCAAAGGAAAAAATTGATAAGTTTTTGTCAACAGGAAGAACTTCTGTTCTTCAAAGCCTCCACAGAAAGAGTGAGAAGAAAAGACACAAATTGAAAAAATATCATTACATATAATCACTCAGATTAGATTTAAGATTATATGAGAATTCTGACAAGTCAATAAGAAAAAGACAACTCAATACACAAATGAATAAGAGGCATAATAGAATTTTACAGGAGCGGAAACAAATATGGCTACTAAACAAGAACTCTTTTTTAAAAATATGTTTTTATTGATTTATTTTTGGAGAGAGAGGAAGGGAGAGAGATATAGAAACATCAATGTGAGAGAGAAACATTGATCGGCTGCTGGGGATAGAGCCTGCAGCCTGGGTAATGCCCTGACCGGGAACTGAACCAGGACCTCTCAGTCCATGGGACGATGCTCAAACCACTGAGCCACACCAGCCGGGCCAGGCAGCTCCTTTTCAAGGGCCTGTGCACAGGACTACAAAAAGTATAATGCTTTTTTATGGTGCTCAAAACCAAAACCAAGCAAAATTAAATACTATATTGTTTAGGCATATAAGCACTTGGGATAGAAATCATTTTAAAAAGCTATAGACTCACAATGAGATACCATCAAAATGGCAAATATAGAAATTACGAGAATGCCAATGCTGGCGAGGTTGTTGGTGGAGCCCTGAAACTCTCATACACGCTGGTGGGATTGTAAAACGGGACAACTACTTCAGAAACCTGGCAGTTTCTTTCTTTCTCTTTTTTTTTTTGTTTAATCTTCACCCGAGGATATTTTTTTATTTATCTTCAGACAGAGTGTGAGGGAGAGAGAGGGAAAGAAAGGGAAAGAGAAACATCGAAGTGAGAGGGACACATCGACTGTTGCCTCCTGCACAACCCCGACCAGGGCCGGGGACAAACCGCAATGGAGGTACGTGCACTTGGCTGGAATCGGATCGAACCCGAGACTCATTGCTCCCTGGGCCGACGCTCTACCACTGAGCCAAACCGGCCAGGGCGGAAACCTGGCAGTTTCTTAAAACGTCAAATACATCTATGATCCAGCAACTCCACTCCTAGGTATTTATATAGGAGAAATGAAAGTATATTTCCATGTAAAAACTTATATAAGAATAAATGCTCATTGTAACTTTATTCATAATAAGTGAAAACTGGAAATAGCTCAAATGCCCTTCAACTATGATACATTCATAACAGAATACTACTTTGAAGAAAAACAGGAGCAAATAACTAAGGCAGCAATAAAATGAATAAATCTCACAAACATTATGCTGATTGAAAGAAGACAGACACAAAGTCTGTGTGATCCATTCCTATCTGTGCTGATAGAAATCAGGCCTGGTTGCTCCCAGGGTAAGGTAGATTAGCAAAGGATACTATTAGTCAGGAAGGGCATTTTCTGAGGAGTTGGTTAAGTCTTATCTTGATAGGGTACGGGTTACATGGTTGTGTTTGCCAAAACTAACCAAACTATAAAATTAAGATCTATGCATTTCACTATATGTAAATCATACCCCGATTAAAAAAAAAAAATCTTAGAAAAAAATCAGAGCTGCATTTCATATTGTATTTTCTAGTCAACTGCAAGAGGAAATTTACTTCCTTAACATATATATATTTTTAAACACTGGAATGTGTTTTATTTGCTAAACTGCCACCTGTTTTGTAACTAAAAAAATTTTTTTTTATTTAAAATGTTTGGCCTTGTACTTTTAAGTCATTCTGAACACCAAATTGGGGGGGGGGGGGCATCAAATAGTAAAAGGTAAACGGAATATTTAGCATAGTGGTAACCTGGGTGGGGAGGGTACAAATAAAAGATGAAACAGGGCCCTGGCTCGGTGGCTTAGTTGGCTGGAGCGTTGTCCTGTGCACCAAAAGGTTCCGGGTTTGATTCCTGGTCAGGGCACATATCTAGTTTTTGGATTTGATCCTGATTGTATTGGGTACAGGAGGCAACCGATTGATGTTTCTCTCTGACATCGATGCTTCTCTCTCCCTTCAATAAAAACATATCCTTGGGTGAGGAATTAAAAAAAAAAATAGATGTAAGTTGTTTGCTTTGTTTCATTTCGTTTTGTTTTATAAACCCTCAAAGTTTTCCTTTTTTTTTTAACATTTTAAAAATTAAGATATTCATATGGCATAGAATTCACCCATCTGAAAATAATATAAAATAATATTTAATGTCAACTTTAATTGAAAAAAACTCACCCCTTTAAAGTATAGAAATCAGTGGTTTTTAATACATTCACAAAACTGTGTAACCATCTCCAATATTCCAAAACATTTTAGTCACCCAAAGAGAAATTCTGTACCCAACAGCAGTCACTTCGCATTTTCTTTGAGCCCTAGATATTGCTAATCTACTTTAGTCTCTATAAAACTGCCTACTCTGGACATTTAATATAAAGGAAATCATATTATATGTGGTCTTTTGAGACTGAAGGTTCATCATGTTGTAGCATGTTGTTTCATTCCTTTTAAAGCTGAATAATATTTCATGTATGGATATACCTCAGGTTGTTTCCACTTTTGGTTATTATAAATAATGCTGCTATAAATGTTGGTAACGAGTTTTTTGCCTGGACATTTGTTTTCATGACTCTTGGATATATACTCAGGAGAGGCATTGTTGAGTCAGAAGCTAACTCTAAAGTTTAACTTAAGGAACGACCAGACTTTTTCAGAGTGGCCCCACCATCAGTCGATCCCACCAGCAGTGAGGGTCCAATTTCCCCACATCATCACCAACAGTTACTATGTGCCTATTTTATTGCAGCCATCCCAGTTGATGTGAAGTGGTATTGTGTTCTATTTTAATTGTTGGATTGAGTGGTCACTCCATGTGTATTTGTTATTGTATTTTGCTTTTAAACAACATAACTTATATAACTTTTTGTGTATATTAAATAATATATTCTAAAAAGAACAACGAGGCTATAGATTGGACTAAAAATGGGGGAGAGATTGAAGAGAGGGAAGGAGGGAGGGGTAGAAAGAGAGAGAGAGAAGCCCAACCTTTTGAAGTAGTAAAGAGACTGAAAGGAGAATTTATTTTGTTTCCTGTATTATACTGGGGGGATATAATCTAGTGATATTGATGAAACAAAAAATAAAGAATGGAAAAAATGAGCACAAGAAGGAAAATATGAGTTTAAAAAAGAAACAATCTTTAAAAAAAGGAAGTCTTTAGTAACCCGATGAAAATTAAAACTGAAATATGCTAAACATTTAATAAACCTGCTTATCTAGTTTTATAACAATTTAATGGAATCTGACCTCAAAATAATACAGATATTCCTTTATTAGAGAGGTTCCAAGTTCAGTGTTGCCTTCTTCCAAAGTTCATTTGACTCAGAGCTTCTTCAGCAGAATTACAGCCAACGAACATTTACTTGCTCACCCACCCCAAGCTAGCTTTCCGAAGAATCCAGTTTCAAAGCCTGCATCTCCTCCCCTGCCACCCTGTGTTCTCCGTTCGCTGCACTGAGAGCTCCGTGGTTCCCACAGCAGGGGCCGCACACTCCGGGGCCTGGAGGCCTCTTCCTGGAACTCGGGGCGGCTGCCCCCTTGCCTTCCAGTCGCTCCGAAGGTGACCTGAGGGCTGCCTTCCCCACAACCCTGCCCAAAACAGCCCCTTCCACTCTCACACTCACACTCCTTTTATTTTTCACGTAGAAAAAAAAAATTAACCTCTCTATAATCAAATATATGCAAATGAAGAATATAGTGGTTAAGTTTTTAGCAAATTGCCAATGATAAAAATAATTATATCATCGAAAACAGGCTGAGTGGGGTCAGAACAATTTTATAACTGTTGATAAGAACTATTACAACTGTTCTAGAAAATAAAATAGCAACATGCTTTTAAGTCCAGTTCTAGGAATCTATCAGAAAGAATTTGTCCTAGGCATGTTTATAATTTGGAATAGTAAAAATTAAATAAACCTATATTAAAATGAGAGCAATATTTTAAACTTTATGATCCATTCATAGTGTGGGAACCTATAAGACTATTGAAAACCATGCTTTCAAAGAGTTTTCGATAAAACGAGATTATACTCATAAATATACAGGTATGCATATATTATACACTATATGTACATAATAAAAACAAGAAAGCATATTAATCCAAAATTGGTTCTCAAAATTGGTGTACCTCGTGGGCACTTAGAGAATTTATTAAAATCACAAATGCCCTGGTCCTGCCCAGATCCGCTGGATCAGAACCCCAAGTTAGTTAGGAAGCAAGACCAGGACAACTGAAACCATGCCCTCCTCGCCACCCACGCGGGCATCATGTTCTGTCTGCGCGTCTGGCGGCCCGGCGGGGACGCACGCTCCGGCGGAACCGGCACCTGCCGGCCTGAGATCCGGGGAAAGCTGCGGTCGCTGCGCCGTGCGAAGCCTTGGAAGCGCCAGGGACGCAGGACCGGAGGCGGAGCACGGTGCAGGACAGCCCCAAACCTGGGCCAGGGGCGCTTCGCAGACACCTTCCCCGGGACCGGGCGCGGTGCAGCGCCCTGGCCCCTCGCGGGGCATCCTCACCGCCGCGCCGTCCCCGCCACCGCCGGGCGAGCGGGAGGAAGCGCGGGCGGCGTGCGGGGCCCAGGCGGGCGGGACGCGCTGCGGGGCGGCAGGGCCGGGCCACTCACCTTGAGAAGCGTATTTTTCGCGGTAAATCTCATAGGCCCTTCTGTGGGCGTCAGCGAGGGTCTGGAGATGAGATCTTGATTTCTGGTGGGGAAGTTCCGTTGTCGCCTCCTCCAAGTCACTAAAAGTGAACCAGGTTCCAACCAAGTCCCCGAAGGAGTGGAAGGCGAAGGCGGCGTAGTCGGCGAAGAGGTCGGCGAAGAGCCGGCGGCCCGGGGCGGCGGCGGGGGGCGCCCGGCGCTGCAGCACCGCCAGGGGCTGGAGCCGCGCGGCGCGCACGGCGCGGAGGAGCCGCCGGTAGCAGCGCACCGCCTGCCCGTCGGGCCGCCCGGGGCTGCCCGCCGGGAGAAGTTGTGCCCAGGACAGGAACACTTTGTAGTGAGTGACCTCCCTGGCACGGATACTGCTCAAGTACTCTGGCAGGAAAGCGGGCAGTGGCTGGCGACACGCGTCCATGTCTTTGTCCCCTGCCGCCCAGTGAGCGCCCGGGTTTCCCAGGGGACCGCTCGGGTCGTGCAAGTCGTTGGTCAGAGGACCAGCCGCTAAAATGAAATTTCTGTCGGGTTCCCAGGCGCATCCCCAGCACGAAAAACTTAGGAAAACCGGGAAGACTAACTTCCAAGTCAGCTCCATTTTCATGGGCCTGGAGAGGATTTGGAATCCTAACGACGGACGAGGTTGTAAAATACCAAGTGATTATTCACACTTAATATTTAACTGGGTTATCTATGATAATGCGGTCAGTGTTTGGTTCACCAATGTAATATCAAAAAAAAAAAAAAAAAAAAATGAAGACCATAAGCGAGAGCAAAACCTCAAATGCCTCGCACGATTTAAGCAGAGGAACTTGGAAAATGTCCGAAGGAAAAATGTTCTTTGTCTTACTTATAAGTTATTTTAAAATCTGTTTACATAACAAAACAAAAACGAGTCCCTTGACAAACTCTTTTTTCCTTTTAATAATATGTCAGTAGCCCAGCCCTGTGACTCAGTGGTTGAGCATCGACCATGCACCAAAAGGTGGCGGGTTGGATTCCCCATCCGGGCACATGCCCAGGTTGTGGGCCAAATCCCCAATGGGGGGCATGCAGAGGCTGCCAATCCATGTTCTCTCTCATCGATGCTTCTATCTCTCTCTCCCTCTCCCTTCCTCTCTCTCTAAAAATCAATAAAGAAAAAAATTTTTTTTATGTAAGTAAATGATGAAACATTTTGTAAAAGATTCAAACAATATAGAAACATATGAAATATCTGTCAATTCCCCTTCCTAGTGTAAGTACCTTCCACGTTTTTTCCTTCTGGTTTTCTTTCTCTGTGTAGCTGGTAATTCAGGAGTTTGAATGCTGGGTTTAAATCTCATCTGGAGAAAGTTACTTAATTTCTCTGCGCATTCTTTAGCATGCTTAGAACAATGCAACTCAGTGACAGCTATTATTGCATATACACAATGCAAACATAATGCAAACATAATTGATGTATAACATTTTAAATGTATAATATAATTTAACATATATGGGATTATGGTTGTTCCTCAGCTTTCTTTTCTTTTCACTTAATAGCTGTTGGGGCTCTGTCTATATTAAAATATACAGACCCACTTCTTTTTAACAATGCATACCATTCATTCCACAGTAAGGAGCTACCAGGACATAATCTCTTGCATATTGAACACTGGTTCTATGTTAATTTTAATTGGTTGCAAATGAATATCTATATACCTTACATATCTTTGCCCACATGTGTGATTATTTATTTAACACAAAATTCTTAGAAATTAAGTTGCTGACCCAATGACATTTTGATTGAAATCCAAGTAGTCTTCCAAAACAGGCTGCTTCTACCTACAGTTAGAACTGTGCTTAAATTTCTCCTTTGCTAACACCTGTTTTAAAACTTCACACTTTTTCCCTGGCCAGATTGGCTCAGCAGTTGCACATCGGTCTGTAGACCAGAGAGTCCCAGGTTTGGTTCCCGCTAGGGGCACATACCACAAACACAAACAAACAAACAAAAAACTTCACATTTTTGACACTTGAAAGAATGAAAATATTATCTCTTTATTGGTTTCTCATTTTTCTGCTTAGAGTTGTAGCTCTCCATGTTAATTGGTCGCTTGCTTTTCTTCTGAGATTTATGTTTATATCCTTTGTATATTTTTATTATTTTAACTTGTTACTGAAATAGAAACTCTTAGTAGAGTTTGAATATCATGTATTAAAACATGATAGAGCCATGGCAAGTTTTGCTCAGTGGTTAGAGCATCGGCCCACGGACCAATGAGTCGTGGGTTCGATTCCGGTCAAGAGCCTGTACCTTGGTTGCGGTTCATCCCCAACCCTGCTTGGGGTCGTGCGGGAGGCAACCAGTCGATGTGGCTCTATCACATTGATGTGTCTCTTTGTCTCTCTCTTTCCCTCCCTCCCACTCTATCTAATGATAAATAGAAAAATATCCTCGGGTGAGGAATAAACAAACAAACAAACAAAACACAATAGAGCTCTGGCCCAGTGGCTCAGCTGGTTGGAGCATCCTCCTGAACACCAAAAGGTTGTGGGTTCAGTTCTCAGTCCAGGCACATGCAGGGAGGGGCTGTAGGGGAGAGCAGTCAGTCCTGCAGCCAAATGATGTTTCTCTCTCTCTTTAAATCAATAAATGTATCCTTGTGTGAGGATTAAAAACAAACAAACAAAAAGCAAACATGATAGAAAAAAATTTTCCCCAGTCTTTAATGGTGTTTATTTAAAGTACATTCTTTTTTTTTTTTTTTATCCTCACCAGAGGACATTTTTCCATTTTTTGTTCAGGTAGAGTGGGAGGGAGAGAGAGAAAAACATTGACGTGAAAGGGACACATTGAGTGGTTGCCACACACATGACCAACCAGGGCCGGGGACAAACTGCAACCGAGGTACGTGCCAGTAGCGGGAACCGAACCCGGGTCTCTCAGGACCGCAGGCCGACGCTCTAACTGCTGAGCCAAACCGGCCAGGGCTTAAAGTATATTCTTGGTACCATAGTTTAAAAGTCTCATGTCAAACCTATATTTCCTTATCCTGTTTTTAATCTTTAGATCTTTAGCTCATGTTGAATTTTAACTTTATATATGTAGTGTGGCATGGCTTATCAATTTCTAACAGGTTATTTTTTTTATTTTTTTTATTTTTTTTTATCCTCACCCGAGGACATTTTTCCATTCTTTGTTCAGGTAGAGTGGGAGGGAGAGAGAGGAACAGAGAGAGAGAGAAACATCGATGTGAAAGGGACACATCGAGCGGCTGCCACCCGCACAACTGACCAGAGCCGGGGACAAACTGCAACCGAGGTACGTGCCCTTAGCGGGAACCGAACCCGGGTCTCTCAGGACCGCAGGCCGACACTTTAACCGCTGAGCCAAACCGGCCAGGGCTCTAACAGGTTATTAAACAGGCCATTCTTCTTCCATTATTTGAAATGCCACCTTATCAGAAACGAAATATCTATACAAAGATGTTTTGGGACTTTCTACTGCTTGACTAGCCATTCCTGTGAGAATACCACACAATTTAAACTTCTATACCTGTGTAGTACTTTTCACTTTATGACAGGGCATAGCCTCTCCTTTCATTCTTTTTCCTGGAATTTTCCTGGTGTGTACTCACACACTCACTTTTCCCCCTATTTTTTAAAAAATAGAAATTTTATTTCATTTGCTGACATTTTTCTGATGGCCCTGACAGCTTCAAACCTGTAACCACTGTTCTGCTGTCTCTATCGATGAGTTTGTTTTTTGCTTATTGCTTTCTGTGTTATATCCCACATATGAGTGTAATCATATAGTTCTTGTCCTTTTCCATCTGACTTATTTCACTTGTCATAATATTCTCAAGGTCCATCCATGTGGTCACAAATAGCAATATTTCATTTTTTATGGCTGAGTAATATTCCATTGAATATATCCAATTGGCCATAGAAGGACACTTAAGTTGTTTCCATGTTTTGGTTATTGTGAATAATGCTAAAATGAACAGAGGGGTACATATATCTTTATGAATAGGTGTTTTCAAATTTTTTGGGTTGATATCCAGAAGAGGGATTGCTGGGTCATAAGGTAGTTCTATTCTTAGTTTTTTGAGGAAACTCCATACTGCTTTTCATACTGGCTGCATCCATTTACATCTCCAACACTGGTTATTTCTTGTCTTTCGATAACAGCCATTGTAACAGGTATTTCATAATGGTTTTGATTTGCATTTCCCTTATGACAGGTGATGTTGAGCATCCTTTTATATGCCTGTTGCTATCTTTTCCATCATTATTTTAGAGTTTACTCTTTTCTGCTTATTAAGAAAAACCAGTATACCATGTTAATACTGGCAGTAATTTCATACATCTCATTTTACTGTGTCTCTTCATTGCATCATTTTCTCTTGTGCATAATTTAATCTCGTGCTGTTTTGTTCATCATGGCCCCTAAGCATACAGCTAATGATGACATACTGAGTGATTAACATGAAAACAAAACTAAAAGTGACTAAGGACTAAAAAGGTGGAAGATCAGTGATGGTTACTGCTCAGCAGTGAGGCAGGACCCATTTCACCATAGCTACAATATTTTAGAACAATAACAAAGTAACACAACCTTTTGAAAGAAATGAGACTAACAAATATTTTCGAAGGAACTATATCAGGCATGGAGACATTTTTTTTTTTTTTTAAATGTTTTCTTTTTTTCATCCTCTCCGAGGACATTTTTCCATTTTTTATTCAGACAGAGCAGGAGGGAGAGAGAGGAAGAGAGAGAGAGAAGCATCGACGTGAAAGAGACACATCGACTGGCTGCCACCCACACGTCCCAACCAGGGCCGGGGACAAACTGCAACCGAAGTACATGCCCTTAGCGGGAACCAAACCCGGGTCTCTCTGGACCACAGGCCAACGCTCTAACCACTGAGCCAAACCAGCCAGGGCTGGAGACATTTTTAATGACCTGGATTAAAGACCAGATACAGAAGCACATCCCTCTCTGCGCCATGATGATCACAGCCAAAGCAAAAAGTTTGTCTGCTATGTTGAAAGAAAAGGCTGAACCGGACCATGATGTTGAACTTACTGCTAGATCTTGGCAAATGCCTCAGGAATCATTCATTACATGATGTGAAAGTAAGTGGCGAGTTTGCAAGTGCTGATGTGAAAGCAGCTGAAGAATTTTTGGAAACTCTACATAAGCTGGTTGTGGAGGGAAATTACTTGCCAGAGCAAATATTCAATATGGATGAAACCTTCCTATTCTGGAAATAAATGCCTGAAAGGACTTGCATCCAGGAGGAGGCCACTTCAATGCCAGATTTCAAGGCTTTCAAGGACAGAATAACCGTCTTGCTTGAGGGCGATGTTACAGGCTACACGTTAAAACCCTGTGTGACCTGGCATAGTGAGAACTTCAGGGTCTTCAAGCAAAGCAGTAAGTACACACAGCCAGTGTACTACAAGGTAATAAGAAGTCATGGATGACCAAACTCCTCTTCCAAGATGCCCTTCTGAATTGTTACACCAGAAAAATGGAGAAGTACTGTTTGGAGAATAACACATCTTTCACGATTTTACTTATTGTTGATAATACTCTTAGACATCCTCTTTTTATAGGTGATTTTCATCCCAGTATCAAAATGGTGTTTCTCCCTCCAAACACCACATCTTTGATTCAATCAACAGGACAGGAGTTATAGAAGCTTTTACGGCCTGCTGCCTGAGGCTACTTTGCCCAGGGTATTGCAACAGAAGAAGACACTGAGTAGACACGGTGCAGTTCTAGGATGATTACATTGATGACTACATCAAGAACCTTGCTTTGGGCTTGGGGTGATGTCACAAAAAAGTGTATCAATAGCATCTGGAAGAAGACACTCCAAAGGTTTGTGACTTCAAAGGATTTGCCAAGTTGAGGAGGTTGCAAAAATCAAGGCTGTGGTTGAGATGGCAAACAAGCGTAACCTGCGTGCTCATGACGATGACAGTGAGGAGCTCCGAGAGGCGGTTCCTGAGGAACTGACTAACGGGGAGTTGTTGGAACTGGAACAGGAACACAGTTGAAGAAGAAGCAAGAGAAAAGGAAACTGCAGGAGAAGAAAAAGAAGCCCCAAGAAAATTCACAGTGAGGGTTTAGCAGACGCCTTTTCAGATCTCCACAAGCTCCTTATAGTTTGAAAACATGGACCCAACCCTGGAAAGTTTTCATTAATAGAGAGGAATGTTCATGGTACATTAATTGCTATGATGAAAAGAAGAAACAAACCAATCAAATCGTCATGGACGTATTTAAAAGAACACTTCTGAAGAAGAGCCTCAGGCAGGTCTTCAGGAGGTGTCCAGGGAGGGCATTGTTGTCAGAGGAGAGGACGGCTCCTTGCCTGCTATTGCCCTGAAGACCTTCCAGTGGGATAGGACGCGGAGTGGAAGACAATGATGTCGATGATTCTAAGTCCCAGGCTAATGTGTGTTTGTGTCTTAGTTTTTTGTTTTATTTATTTATTTTTATCCTCACCTGAGGACATTTTTGCATTTATCTTCAGATAGAGTGGGAAGGAGAGAGGGAAGAAGAGAGAGAAACATCGAAGTGAGAGAGACACCTTGAGTGGTTGCCACCCGCACAACCCAACCAGGGCCGGGGACAAACGGCAACCGAGGTATGTGCCCTTAGCGGGAACCGAACCCGCAGTCTCTGGACTGCAGGCCGACGCTCTAACTGGCCAGGGTTCCTCTTCTATTTTGAAAAAGAGTTTGAGCCCTGGCTGGTTTGGCTGTGTGGTTGAAGCATTGACCTGAGGACCAAAGAGTCATGGGTTCAACGCCTGGTCAAGGGCACTTACCTGGGTTGCAGGTTTGATCCCTGGCCTAGTTCGGGGTCATGAGGGAGGTATTGATGTTTTTCTTTCTCTTTCTCTGACCCTCCCCCTTCCACTCTGTCTAAAAATCAATGAAAAACTGTCCTTGGGTGAGAATTAACAATAAAATAATTTTAAAAGTTTGAGAAAGATTAGTATCAATTCTTCAAATGTTTGGTAGAATTCACCATTAAAGCCATCTGATCCTGGACTTTTGTTTGTTGAGACGTTTTGATTATTGATTCAGTCTCCTGCCTGTTCAGAGTTTCTATGTCTTCATAATTAAATCTTGGTAAGTTGTATATTCCAAAAAATTTATCCATTTCTTCTAGATTGTCAAACTTGTTGGTGTTTATAGTTGCTCATAGCAGTCTCTTATGATCCCTTTTTTGTGGTATTAATTGTAATGTCTACTTCTTTTCTCATTTTGAGTCCTCTTTTTTTCTTAGTGAGTCCAGCTAAAGGTTTGTTAATTTTGTTTCTTTAAAAAAGAAACAAAACCCAGTTAGCTTCATTGATCTTTTCTATTGTCTTATAAGTCTCTATTTCATTATGTCCACTCTGATCTTCGTTTCCTTTCTTCAACTAGCTTTGGGGTTTCGTTTGTTCTTTTTGTAATTCCTGTAATGTAAAGTTAGGTTATTTGAGACTTTCTTTTTTATTGATGTAGAAATATACTTGTGAACTACCCTGTCAGAACTGCTTTTGCAGCATCTGGTAAGTTTTGGTATGCTGTATTTCCATTTTCATTTGTTTCGAGGTATTTTTAAATTTCTTTTGATTTCTTCTTTAACCCATTCAGTAGCATGTTTAATCCCCACATAATGGTGAATTTTCAAGTTTTCTCCTTGTAATTAGTTTCATATGATCAGAAAATATGCTTGAAATGATTTCAATCTTCATATATATATATTATGGAAAGTTGGCCGATACCTTTATTTTTTTGGGGGGAAGGGGAGTACTCAAGAGCTCCTGGTGGGGCGGGACACTATCTCTTCACCATCACGGACTTCTGGCTGGGCCCTGTGGATGGCAGCCATGTGCAGATCCAGGAGGTACTTGTTCTTGCGGATCAAATATGGGGTGCTGCTCAGGGTGGCCTGGGCGTTCTTTTTTTTGTTGTTGTTCATTTTTTTTGTTCAGATAGAGTGGGAGGGAGAGAGTAAGAGAGAGAAAGAGAAACATCGACGTGAAAGGGACACATCGAGTAGCTGCCACCCACACAACCCACCAGGGCCAGGGACAACCTGCAACCAAGGTACATACCCTTAGCGGGAACCGAACCCGGATCTCTCTGGACCACAGGCCGACTCTCTAACTGCTGAGCCAAACCGGCCAGGGCCCAGGCGTTCTTGTTGATGGTGGTCCGCACATAGGAGGTGACAGGCTTTCGCCGGCCGGATCGCCGCTTCATGACCACCAGCACACCTATGCTGTGGGCTGCAGGCTCCACGCCCACCGTTTTGCAGTGAATCAGCCCTTTGTAGCAAAAGGAGTTGCGGGCCTTCGGGTTACTGGGTTCCGTGCTGTCCGTCTGCTTGTTCCTCTTGATCAGGGAGCCGGAGCAGTTCCCTCCGACCACCCATTGCAGATGAGCAGACATGGCGGCAGCTCCTCACGGTGCTGCAGCCGAAGACAGAAAGAGGCTCAAATATTTTTTTAACCCATCTTTATTGTTGAATGTATTACAGATGTCCCCCCTTTTATTTCCCATTGACCCCCTCCTCCCCAATCCTGCCCCTCTCCTACCCTCCCCAAACTATTGTCGGTGTCCATTGGTTATGCATATAGAAGTGCTTTGGTTTATCTCATCCCACCCTCCCTCCCCCTTCCCTTTGAGGTTCATCAATCTAACAACCAATTTGTACTTCTTAATTCCTTCATCTTTTTCACCATCCCCCCAGTCCCCCCATCTGGCAAGTAACCAAAAGTGCTCTGTATCTATGAATCTGTTTCTGTTCTGCTTGCTCATTTTGTTTGTAGATTCAATTGTTGATAGATATGTATTAATTGCCACTTTGTTCATATTTTTTATCTTCTCCTTCAACATTTCAGATAATACTGGTTTGGTGGTGATGAACTCCTTTAGCTTTTTCTTGTCTGGGAAACTCTTGATATGTCCATCGATTCTAAATGATAGCTTTGCAGGATAGAGTAATCTTGGTTGTAGGTCGTTGCTTTTCATCACCTTGAATATCCCTTGCCATTCCTTTCTGGCCTGCAAAGTTTCTTTTGAGAAGTCAGCTAACAGTCTTATGGGACCTCCTTTGTAGGTAACTAACTGCTTTTCTTTTGCTGCTTTTAAGATTCTCTCATTGTCTTTAACCTTTGGCATTTTGATGATGATGTGTCTCAGTGTGGACCTCTTTGGGTTCATCTTGTTTGAGACTCTGTGCGTCCTGAATTTGTATGTCTGTTTCCTTCACCAAATTAATTTTCTGTCATTATTGTTTCCACTAGGTTTTCAATTTCTCGCTCTCTCTCTTCTCCTTCCGGCACCCCCATGATGAGAATGTTGGCATGCTTGAAGTTGTCCCAGAGGCTTCTTACACTATTCTTTCTCTCTCTCTCTTTTTGTATTCTTTTTCCTTTTTGCTGTTCTAATGGGTTGTTTTTTGCTTCTTTACATTCCAAATGGATGGTTTGCTTCTTGGCTTTACCTACTCTACTACTGATTCCCTGTAAATTATCCTTTATTTCAGTCAGTGAATCCTTCATTTCTAACTGTTTTTTTTTTTTATGTCGTTGATGTTCTAAGTTCCTTGGAGTTCTTTTTAAGTTCCTTGAATGTCTTTCTATGTTCCTTGAGCATCCTTATAACTAGTGTTTTGAACTCTGCATCTGATTGATTGCTTATCTTCATTTTGTTTAGTTCTTCTGGAGTTTTGTTCCTTTCTTTCATTTGGAACATGTTTCTTTGTCTCCTCATTTTGGCTGCTTCCCTGTGATTGTTTCTATGTATTAGGTAGAGTTGTCATGTCTCCTAGGCTTCATAGGGTGGCCTATTGTAAGTGTCCTATAAGATCCAGTGGTACAGCCTCCCTGATCACCCCAGGTGGGCTTCTGAGGTGCACCCCTAGTGTGGACTGTACAACCTTCTGCTGTAATCGAGTCTTGATTGCTGTTGGCACATCAATGGGAGGGATTTACTCAGGCTGATCAGCTGCAAGGACTGGCTGTGCCCACTGATCACTGGCCTCTGACTCCCTTGGAGGATCAGCTGTGTAGGGGCCCACCACACAGAGCAAGACTTACTTCATCAGGGCTCTGGTACCCACTGTGTCCACTCATTGAGTGTGTCACAGTGGTTGGTAGTGGTACTTCGATGTGGTCTGAAGTTGTCTACTGGGTGTGGTGGCTCTGGGGCAAGGTCAGCCACTGCCTGCATTCTATCCAGGACCACCCAGCATAAGCTACAAAGTGATCTGCAGCTGGCTGCTTCTTGTGCTGGGCTTGGAGGTGCCCAGGAAAATCCAGGTTGTGAACCAAGGCTGGCTGCTTCTAGTGCCAGGCCTGGGGCCACTTAACGAGAGGTATGGGACTCACTGAGACCAGATGCTGCTTGTTTGAGAGATTTTAGGAAACTCTGAAGCAGGATCCCAGACAGGTCAATCCTATGGTAAAACCATTGGAAACAGCTTGGGTGGGCCCAAAAGTTGGGTGCAGCAGGGCCTCAGGGAATCACCAAGGCGGGTCAAACAGTGAGCCAGGTTGCTGGAGTCCCAGATATGGCGCCCGTCTGCAAGCCTTGTGGGGAAAGGGCTCACCAAAGGAACAAAGGTCTCCACCAGCATGTCAGAGAAAGCTGACTCTCCAATCCTTGTCCTGAGGCCAGATAGTTCAGTTCTTCCCTGTATGTCTCTGCTGCTTTTCAAGCTGCCTCCCCTCTGAGCTTAGAGGGAGCAAATCCGAGGGCTGGCTCTTTAAGAAGAGCTGCCTGAGGCTCCAGAAGCCTCAGTCTCTGCTGGTTTTTACAGCCAGAAGTTATGGGGACTTCTCTTCCTGGCACTGGAACCCTGAGCTGGGTGCCTGGTGTGGGCCGAGGACTCCTCACTCAGGGAGGACCTTCCAGCTGAGGTGTCCCTCCTGATTTTTATCCACCACACCTCTGCCCCTCCTACCAGTCTCCATTTGGCTCTTAAATTTCATTGTTGTAGAACTTCCATTCAGCTCGATGTCAGGCATTTCTTATGATGGTAGTGCTGTAGTTTAGTTGTAATTTTAATGTGGTTGTGGGAGGAGGCAATACCGCGTTTACCTATGCTGCCATGTTGACCAGAAGTCTTAAATATTTTTTTTAAATGTTTTTTATTGATGTTAGAGGGAGAGAGAAACACTGATCGGCTGCCTCTTGCACACTTCCTACTGGGGATCAAGCCAGCAACCCGGGCATGTGCCCTGACAGAAAATTAAACTGAAGACCTTTTGGTACACAGGATGGCACTTAACTGAGCCACACTGGCCAAGGTCAATCTTCTTAAATTTATTAAGACTTGTGGCCAACATATGACCTGTCCTGGAGAATATTCCATGTGCGCTTGAGAAAGAATGTGTACTCTGTTGCTTTTAAGGTTCATGTTTTATTATTGATATTCTGGACGATATATTCATTGATGAAAGTGCGGGGGTATTAAAGTCCCTGACTATTATATTACCATTTCTTTCTTTTAGGTCTGTTAATATTTGTTTTTATTTAGATGCTCCTATGGCTATATTTGCACATTATCTTTTCCGTGTGTCCTGGAGATATTTCAAACATATAGGTTTACCCCATTTTTATTTGTATATCCCACAGCATAGCTATATCACAACTTATGCAGTCATTTCCTTGTTGATGGATATCTGCTGGATTTGGTGGAAAATACATTACATTTACAGATTAGTTGACAATTTCAACATTCAGGAACATGTTATATCTACCCACTTACCAAACATTTGTCTAATTTTCTTCATGAAGATCTTGTACATGTTCCATCATCTATTATTACTTCACCTTCCTGACAAGTAACATGTGGAGGAAGGGGGTGTGTGGAAATGTAAGTACGTCTGAACTGTAGGAATCACCTCACCCTGCCCTGGAGCCTGCACTCCTGCAAATGGCAGAATTGGGAAGGGGACAGACTCACCAAAAAGGAACTCATTTCCTGAGCTTCAAACTTTCCTTTGGGCAAATATTCGATCAAATTACAGTTCAAATTCCCGTCAGGCTGTTTCTCTTCTTTCAGGATCTCCTGAACCCACTTTTAAAAATCAAGTGGGAGTCAGTACAGGGAGGGACTCTTTCTTGCTGTCTCCTCACTTTTCTCTAGAATGTTCTTAACACCTGTTACTGAATGTTCTGCCTGACATTTGTCCATATTTTACACTAGCAGCTCCTAACTGCCTCTGTAGCAAGTCTGAGATCCTCCACACCAAGGTTTCCTCATCCCAGCAGCCTCTTACACCCTCGTTAATGAGGAATATCTTTTGCAGGAGCTTAGAACCCCGCACCTGCTACCTGTGCAATTTCTCTGTCCGTTTCCAGTGCCCCCTCATCGTTCCAGGCCAGCGGGGAGGCAGGTCACCATCAGTGCGCTCACACGCCGCAGATGGACATCCCTAGCTGGCCCTGCAGGCCAAGAATGACATCGTTAAAAGCTGCAACGGAAACTTCACCAATATATTGGCCATAACTAAGTTTCAGGAGGTTAGTATCATAAACAGTTAGTACCTTTTACCTGAAAGAAAGCCATAAAATTTGGAAATTGTTTGTAATATAGAAAATGATGTACTTTCCTTGAAAAAGCAGTTGGAAAATAACTCTTACAACACAATAAACTATTAAAAATTAATAAAAAAGTAAACTAAAACCAAAAACAACCTATTGAAAAAATCCAACAACAGAAATTAACCTTGGAAAGTCATTTCCAAGGCTCCTTTAGCCTTCATACTAATTCTAATAAGGACTCCTCACAGGAGCCTAATCCTGAAGGTTTCCTGAAGGTTTCCCATAACGCCACCCATACAACCCCTTGCCCCAGGTTAAGCAAAAGGGAAATGCTCACCACGGGAATATAAAGCACAGCATAGGGAATATAGTCAATAATACTGTAATAACTACGTCTGGTGCCAGGTGGGTACTAGAATTATCAGGAGGATCACTTTGTAAATTATATAACTGTTTAATCACTATGCTGCATGCCTGAAACAAATATAAGATAAAGTGAAAGACTCATAGTCACAAGTAAATGGAAACAATAATTAGAGTATAAATACATCCAATAAGACAAATGCAAAACAAGTTATTTTATTTTGATGGGTGGGGTGGGGTGGGTGGGAAGCAGTAATTAGCAATTGAAAAAGTTATTTCCCCAATAAAATACCATTACATAAAAGTAATGGGCCTTTTTCCTACACATGAAAACAAAGGTCTTAGTTACAGAAACCACACATCATTGGGTTCCAACTTCACTTAGATAAGAAGCACACTAAACAAAGGCTAAGGCCCATGCTGGCATCAAAGTGTACAGCAGAAATGTGACACACAGGACCATCAACTTGGTTCTTGTTTCTCAAAAATAAATCTTCCCCAAGCATTTCTCCCAGAAACATCCTCTTGCTAGT